AAAAAAAAACAAGTTGGCAAGATTGCAAAAAAAAGTGCACCTCAAAAATGCTTTCTTTTTTCTTGAAATTTTCTAGACAATATTTTGTACAGTTCGCTTCGGTGCTGCTTCTTGCTCCATGCGTACCGACGAGAATCGCCGTCCAAACTTTGGGCGAGGTCAACCCTCGCCGGGATCTGCGGATGTCGACATGAAGGACACGTCACCAGCGCCTTCCACCTCCTCCGGGCGATCCCAGCGCGCGGCTCCTTCGTCTGCGTCGTCTTTTGGACACAACCGCCCGGCACTACGAGAACGCACCTCTCCCAGCTACAGATCGACGGCCACAAGTATGTCAGCCGCCGTATGGCTTTGAAAGCAGACACTGACGTTCTGTTGTGTGTTGTGCATTGCACAGGTCGCTTAATGGCACCAACGGCATCGTCGTTAGCGCATCGAACGGCGTCGCCTGCATCCGCTGGATCCGTGCCGTCGTATGCGCGACCGACCGCTAGCAGCGCTACTGGAAGGTATAATGGATCAAGAATTCCGTCAGCCCCAACGAAAGCGACGCATAATAGCGGTACAAGCAGATTCCGGACTGGTGCATCGACTTCCACAGCAATACCAACGTCAGTTAGACCTCCGTACGCGGGTGCAGGTGCATCCAGCAGATTTCAAACCGCTTCGACTTCTCAGTCCCGCTACGGTACTACTCGAACTCAGAGCCGTGCGCCGTCTCCACCACCGCCACGACAGCATACTGTTGAACAGAATATTCCACCAGCAGCCCCAGCGGAAATGATGGATTACGAGGATCACCAAACAGAACAACAACGGGAACAGGAACAGAAGCAGCCAAACCAGCCACCAAAAGCGTGGAGTCTGGATGATTTCGAAATTGGACGCGAGCTCGGAACTGGAAAATTTGGTCAAGTGTACCTTGCACGCGAGAAAAACTCGCGCATGTATGTGGCGCTGAAAGTACTGGTGAAGGAGCAGCTTAAGGCTGCTGGTGTGGCCCACCAACTGCGTAAGGAAGTGGAGATTCACTCCCGTATTCGACACGAAAACATCCTGCCACTGTTTGCCACTTTTCAGGATGCCACACGAGGTAAAATAGAGTTGAGGATCTCTGTTTTAGCTGTAGTACTTACGTGGCGTTCGTTGTATCTTCAGTGTACCTGGTGATGAAATATGCTGGAGGCGGTGATCTCTACAAGAAAATGCGCTCCATGCCCAGACGGCGGTATGCTCACACGCTATCGGCCCTATTCATGTAAATGAACTAACAAAACAATACTGTCTTAGGTTTCCTGAACGTCAAGCCATGCTGTACATCGCCCAGCTTGTCAGGTAAGAAGCCAACGCTGATGTGATGAAGAGCTTCGCAACTTAGCGCCTTCTTATTGTAGTGCATTGGAGGCGTGCCATCAACAGCACGTGATTCACCGCGACATCAAACCTGAGAACCTTCTTCTATCTGAGGAGGTACGATTATTGTGGCGATAGTTATTGT